TGGGTTTTTTTCTATTTATTTCCTGAGTGCAGTATGTGCAATTTTTCTTAGTGTTAAATTGTTGATTTGATAGCATGATAGCAAAAATAATGACTTGAAATAACATTGTTTTAAACAAATAAATGCCCTATTGTTGTGCTAACAATCTGTTTTCTGTCTTTGTATTAACAACTTTAAGTTTTGAGTACAGCTTACTTGAGAAATTTAAGGCAATCTGTTTCCACACATTTGTCTATAATGTGAACAAAGCAGACTTGTTAAGAGAACTGTTTTGTTTGAGTTCTGTGCACTAAGCTTAACTTACATCTCTAAGTTGGCTGAACTTGTCAAATTGAGTTAGCAACACTCAAGTTTTCTGGTAACTTATACATATACACAAGTTACCTATACAAAGTTACAGTAAGTTTTATTAACTCAAAAACGATAAACTAATTTGCTTGAGAAATTTGAGGCAATCAGTTTCCACAGGTTTTCCAAGTAAGTTCAACTCATTACTTTTTACAGTGTACTGAAAAATGTCACCTAAACATGGAGAGTGAATTTTTATATATCTTTTCTTTTTTGTTCCTATTCCCCAGTTATATTACTCAGCTATGATTGTTTGTTAGGTCTGTTGTTCAAGGATCAACAAAAGATTCAGGAACATGTACCACATGAATGAAACACAGTGCTGGTCAATACCTTCTGAAAAAAAAATTCACATTTATAGGCAAAAAACACCAACACCACACACTTGCTACCCCCTAATTGCTATCGTGTACTCTTCAAATCACCAGACAGCACAGCATTTACAGCAGCCTACAGTCAGACAGATGAGAAAGAGTGAGTGAGTGCTGAAGAGAGACACAAACAATGAAGACGGGGAGCGTTAGACACACAAAACAAGAAAGCAGAGAGAAAAAGGAGGACAGCAGAACAGAGGAGATTACAGCAAGCAGCATGAGAATGGTGATGGGAGCTGCTCAGGCATGAGGTGGGGGAGCCATGTTAATATATTCAGTCTGATTCTCTATTCCATTTTAATTGCCAAAGCTAGGCAGCAGCATATGCAGAAATGATGAGTGAGTGGAGCAATCCCAGTCAGTCATACAACACAGACTGAGCCCCTGAGTGACACCGTGTTAACATGTGATTGACTGTGTGTGTGTTCTTCCACAATGTTTAATATCTGCCAGTGCTACTGAATAGGATCATACCACAATTTAAAGAAATCAACATATGGTGGCACTTGAGTATCCAAGCCAAAAG